GCATCCTGAAAAATTGAAAAAGAAAGAAAAGAAACTCAAAAAATCAATTTTAATCTCTTAGGACCCTTGAAAATATAGCAAATCCAGTTGCTCTCATATAATGGACTAAATCTGTAATATTAATGCGGAACAAATTTGAAGTTTATTTATTCATTCATATAGTTTCGTACACTAACATGAGATCTTCAGCATGTTTAAGCATAAAATACAGTATGTTTGATTTATTTCTGTCGATGCAGCATATTGGCATTGTGTGTCATGATCTGATCATGTGTCAAAATAGCTGAATAAACTCAATAGTAATAAACTAGTAATAAACTGCTTTTTTTATTACTGTGCATATTATTTACATGTTACTGAGAGAATATTATTTTATGGACTACATGGAATATTTGTACTTTTAATTTTTAAGACATCAGAACCACTGAAATGAACTAGTAAAGGCAAAAATATGATTTAAAAAGTGAAACGTCTGTCTATTTTAAAATATGTCATGTTTAATTCAATGTTTTCAGGAAATATATAATTTCATAAAGTTTCAAATCACAGAGTAAATAAAAATGTCCAAAGTAAACATGTCTTTAGAGAAGACATTTAGAATGAATTTTCAGAAATAATTTACTTGTGCTAAAACAAAGAAGGCAAGAAGTGAATTTTTACTAATAGAAAGTACTTTTCAGATTTTTTCCACTAAGACATTAAAAGCTATATTGATGATGTGCTAACATTAAGTGCATTATAAATCAATACATTTAAAAGTTACGGTGGAAAATAATTTTTATGCTTATAAAAAAAGAAAAAAGTTTCTATTTTACAGAAAGCATTTCTTATGTTCTTCAAATAACGTTTGAGATGATTTATTTTTATGAATGTATTTATGCATTATAGATCAAGACATCAATACAACACATTATTGTAGATTATATGAACTTTTGGTTGATGCTTTTCTTGTATCTCCTGAGTAGTGTAAAATACAGTGTTTTTGGGAAATAAAGTTTTGCCTGCCCTGCTCACATGAAACAGCGTATTCTCTTGTTTTAAAGCTTAAACACGTCAAGTCAACCCCCCTTTATTTATAAAGCTTCATGCAACAGATGTTCAAAGCAGCCTCATAGTAATAAACAGAAAAGAAAAAAAACAATCAATGCAAACGTCATCAAATATGAGACAAATTCTGTAAAGCAGCTTTACAGAAGTCAGGTGTCGTTATTCAGCTCGAGTCAGTTCAATGTTGATTCAGATCAGTTCAATAACAGTGTTGATTGGTCAATTATGAAACAAATTGGATTCAGCTAAAAAGCAGCTCTAGAGAAGATAATAGTGCCTTTATTCAGCTCGATTCACTTCAGTGTCCTCATCCGATAACAGTCAGTGCAGTCAAAGTATTATTAATAAATGAACATTCAGATTATTGAATATTGTGTCTTTTAAACCCCAACTAAGCAAGCCAAAGGTGAAAGTGACAAGGAACCCAGACTCCACTAGGTGACAGAAACAGAGAAACCTGGCTCAGTCGGGGACCAGTTTTCTTCTGGCCTAAATTAATGACCATGGGGTGATTTATGAATCTAGGATGCATCACAAGTCAGATTTGTGGATGTTATTCAGAAATTTTGCATTCATCTCCATTTGCTTGAAGATCAGGCTTTAGGTGGGAAAGGAGGACACTAAGGTAAAGAATGTAAGATGTTTTGAAACTGAGCATAATTCTGGACTAAGTCATTTGAAATCTTTCGTAACTATTCTATATTGATTTCAAATTTAAATTGAATTATTTTCTGAACTGCTTGCATGATTTACAGTCAAAATCAAAGTTAGCAGTCCTTATTTTTTATTAAATATTGCAGCGTTTATTATAAATGATGTAACTTTGTTTCATGCTGACTTTAATGATTAGGAGGCTGATTTTTCAGTGTAATTTCATAAGTAAAATCAAACATCAGCTATACTCCATAAGCCTGCAGTAATGTACTGAGAGCCAGTGGTATTGTATAAGGATACAGAGATCCATAAAATGATTTGAAAAATTATGAAAAATTATCATGTACAGTATAAGGATACAAGGATTCAAGAATTTCACTAAAAGGATCTCCATATGTTTAAGAACATGCGTTTTATTGTATGGAGCCTCAAAATGGCTTAGAATAGTGCGGAGTATGTGAAGTGAGACATTAATATCATTTGTTTTGAGTGCTCAGAAAATAAAATAAAAAGATAAAAATGATTACTGTATCCACTTGTGTTTTCTTTTTGAAATGATGCAGATGATAAAAAATTATGTTGAAAGGCAGTGAGAAAATTAGTTTTAAAGAAATAAAGAATCTGTTCCGTTATTTTATTAATTTGTTCCTCATTTCAGTAAATCATGACTAAGTTCCACTAATTTGTTCTCTTCTTTTGAGGGAACAAATTAGTAAAAGTGACCAGGATTTACGGGGAAACAAATTCTTAATTCGTGGCAACAATTGATATTTTTACCATATGTCATGCGTCGGGCTCCGTACAAAAATTGTACATTCTTCAGACAATTAAAAACAAATTGTGCAACTGAAATTGTTCAATTGAAATAAGCAGTTGCTTACGGTCCACAGTGCTTCAATATAAGGTAAAACAAAAACAAACCACTTTCTTGTCCTTAGCGGTCCAGTTCTTCATGGCGATTGTCTATGTGTTGAAATCCCGCACCTCTTGAGAATCTCTTGAGCCCTACACTTTCTTAAATATCTCACACACTTTTCATTCTTGTGCAAAACGTTACACATACTGGTGTTACATGAATGTAAATACATCGCGATACCAATTATAAGCTTCAGTAACAAAACTAATTTTACTCTTTCAGGTAAATTAACATGAAAAAATATACACATATTAAATGCCTTTAAATATGACATGTAGAAGTGAAAACACGTTTAAAAGACATTTAATATGTGTATATTAAAAGACATTTAATATACACATATTAAATGTCTTTTAAACCTGTTTTCACTTCTACATGTCATATTTAAAGGGATAGTTCACCCAAAAATGTAAATTCAGTCATCACTGTTTCAACCCTGTATGACTCTCTTTCTTCTGTGGAACATTTCAAGAAATGTTTTTTTTTTGTCCATACAGTGCAAGTCAATGGTAACCAAAACTGTTTGGTTATTAACATTCATCAGAACATCATCTTTTGGCAGGACATGAAGCTGGCTCAGTAAATAATAGGGCTGGGACGATAAATCGATGCAGAATTGATTCGTGGATGGATTCTGAGATCTTCCGAATGCATCGCGATTCTCTCTGGAATCGATTCTGAGCTTAGATTTTAATAGCAGATGGCGCTCTAATCTAGTAGGGCTACACGATAAATCGCAATAGCGATTAGGCAAAAGCTGCGATTGTCATGCGCATTTTGTCAGTGAAGCACAGTTCTGTGATTAGTAGTAAATCTCCATCTGAAGGCCAGAGAAACTCCAAATACGCCCCGCAGAAGAAACCCAGGAAATCCCTACAGCAGCAACTGAATAAACAGAAGAGTTAACTGCTTTCATTGATTCAACGTGACTAATAAACACACGACTACGACAAAATATGATTTATCTGCGTTCTTATTATAATTATTATAATTTTCATTGTAATAAAGTATATAATATTGCAATGCTAATCGACATAGCCTTTATCACTGCTTAGAATACTATGAAATATGCTGCGTGCCTTATTCTGTGTAAGAAGCCACATCATCTCACAGAAGGATTTATTTCAAACACTCGACTGATGTTATGAAGTGAGTTGGGAGTAAAAACATGTTATTAAATGTGGTATTTTCACGTGCTTTCAGACGGAGCAGCATTTACTTCACAGAGCCATAGTTCACTGAGAAGCTACGCAAACAGCTGTCATTATCACAAACAATTTTTTTCGATTTCATATTTGCGTGATTATATCATCTGCGATTTTTTGCTTAGCTTCTCAGAGATCTACGGCTCTGTGTAGTAAATGCTGCTCCATCTGAAAGCACGAGATGGAGATTTACTACTAATCACAGAACCGGCTTTACTGACAAGATGCGCATGACAATCACATTCGATTAATCGTGCAGCCCTATAATCTAGTTTTTATCCGCACACTCAAATGCTCATGAAGAAGAGCGTTGAAGAGCACTTGTGCGTTCGGCTGAGTCTGTAATTTCACCTCGGCTCAGAATGCTTTCATGACACAAGATTAATGTAAACAGCCCACCGTGAACACCCTTGTAATTCGCTTCAACATTTTCGAATTTTATGAATGATTATTTTAGGTTCAAGTGTGCGCAAGGATTTGGAAACAAGCAGAGTACGGCTGTTTCTAAAGCATGCAGCGCCATCTGCTGTTCAAAACTAAGCTCAGAATCGACACGAGAAAGAATCGTGATGCATTCTGAAAATTTCAGAATTGATGCGGAATAATTTCTCGATTCGCGATGCATCGATTTATTTTTCCCAGCCCTAGTAAATAATTTCATTTTGGGCTGAACTATTCCTTTAACTCACATTAGCTTTCCTAAACAACTGCAAAGTTCAATAGTTCTTGAACGGGATGTTACCAGTCCGTATTATTTTCTGAAGTGTCCCATTATGAGCTCAGGGTTCTGCTCGGACCTTCAGCAGGGTTTTGAGGTGCACAGACATCTGCTCTTTACTGCAGTGCTGCTGTACGGCTGGATGGTGAAGAGCACCTTCTCCCACCCAGTGGCTTGGCGGTTTGGGGAGGACGCTGGGCGAGGGTGGCTCGCTGAACTTCGCTCCAGCGTACGTCTTCTCTGCCTCCGACGAGAGCTCAGGAGGGCAAACGCTCACCCTCCTGAGGTCCTCAGCCGTGCTCTTCCCCATGTGTGTGGGGGTCTCCTGTCTTTTGGGAAGCTGAGTGTCGTCTGATGCGTTTCTTTGCTTGCTCCACTGTCTCCGTTTGTTTAAGTTGTCGGTGGTTTTCTCAAGACAGCTCGAGCTGTTGACAGACGGTCCACTGGGCTGGATTCCTCGTTCAACACTTTCAGTGTTTAACTTCAGCTGCTGAAGACAAACGGGAAACACTTAGGATCATGTAAGACGGTCAGACCACACTGCTGATGTTCTTTCTGGCCTCTGCGTCTCACACCGTGACCAGAACGCCAAGACATGTGATCATTTCATTTGTGGTGTTTAGTAACAGATGAGTTCGCAACACTTCTTCACGAAGCTTTGAATCCTTTCTGAATCATTGGTTTTGAATCTAACTGACCAGGTAACATGATTTCAGCAAACATACTAGCTATGTTCCCATCCACCTATTTTTATGCGCATTTTGGAATATCGCATAAAGAAAACGCTGGATGGAAATGCCAAGATGCGCATAAATTCTAAAAATACCCATAAAAACGTTTGGAAACACAAACTACGATGGAAACACATTTACCGAATAAATTCCTCCATGCGCATTGAAAAAGTCATGTGACTTTGCGCTATGAGACGGGATGACTTGACTAGCAGTGGACTTATCTCATTCACAGCATCTATATGTTGTTATGGTCTGTCGTCAAAGTATTTCTGTATAATTGTCTTACACGACTGCGTTCCCAAACAGCAGCATCCGCTTAAAATGCAAAACCTCCGAAAGCAATGACTGCATTTATTGTGTTTTGTCTGAGGCGTAAGTAATTTATCATATATGAAAATTATTATATTCAGTGGCTTTTCCTAGTTTTCTTAGTGATATTTAGTGCCAGTTTATCAGGAAGTGACAATTTTGTTCTCTTTGACGCGTTGGATGGAAACGGTGCTTTATTCGCAAACGTTTTATGCGATATTCCAGTTTTGCGCATAAGTTTGAATCTTTGGATGGAAACATAGCTACTGTTTCTTAACTAACACTTTGAACCAGTAAGTAATCTACGTTCACAAACGTTGAGCAGAATTTTCTATAAAATTCTTGTTGGTACACAAAATAAATGTTACCAATAAAATATGACATATTTTACAGATAATTTCACACTATCCAGTAACTGAACATTTCTGCAGCGAGCCTTTAGGTTTGAACATTGCATTCAGAAAATACAGGTCAATTCATGAAAAATGTGTGACATTTATTTCACTTAATATCTTCATATTGACGAATCAAAACTTTTTGCCACCAGCACCACCCCTGGCTTCTGGTCTGCAAAATTTGGATGAAAATAATTATAGAAGGAAATGAAAGCAGTCTCAAGGATCCAGGTGAAAAAATTATAAATTAAATCTGGAGAGCAGAACACAAATTTACAGCTCATTCAATCAAACTGATCAGGATTATTCGTAGTGCAGTCTTGTAATTTGAAATGCTTTGTTTCAGTCTTTTTGAGTGGAAATACTCCAAACCGGAAGTGCCTCCCTTAATCTAAAACACAGTACACTCATTAAGAAAAAGGTGTATAATCAAAAGACTTAAAGGCAGGGTAGGTGATTTGGTTCAAAAACATTTCGTTATGCTGGTTGAAAGTCTCTTCACATCCCGATAGCAATCGCTAAGTTAAGTGGTCTATATGTATTTATAGCATCTGTAGAAGGTGTAGAATCATAAAATGTTTGTCCAATCATATTCCTCGGTCCGAGGACTACGATAGGCTGTCCTACCTGTCAACATATGTATTTGCATATCTCTGCGCAGACATGATACGTCATCAGCGCGTTCATTACGCTATCGTAGACCGAGCGAGAATGGAAGGCGTTATTACTGTAATATTATGCACTTTGTACTGTAAGGTTTTCTCACCGGTGAATGAGACATGAGGTAATCTGACAGCATTGACGCGTCTCTCATCGTGTCACTGGTTAGCCTCTGGTCTGTCTGAGCACGGTCATGTGTTTTGGAGGAGGCGTGGCTTTGGAGAGTGATTTGCAGGAAGGGTGGGATCTTATGCTTTCAAAGCTAGCTTACTATTGCTAGCCTCTCTGAAATCACCTACCCTACCTTTAACAGAATGGAAGGTGAAATGAACAGAGCAGTGGTTAAAGTAGAAGTAGTGTATTTAAACTTCATAAGAAGTTTTTTTACATATTATTTTAAAACCCAGTTCTAACAAAAGTAATTCTGTCCACCTTGTTAAGCATTTTAACGATAATTTCATACTGTACACAGTGCACAAACATTAAAACCATAAGTCTTTTAAACTGTTAATTTGTCCACAACAGGGTTGACATTTTGGTCTTTCAGTTTATATAATTGGTTTCAAAAATGCTTGAATTTACTTGCCTGAACTTGAAAAGCACTTAAAGGGGTCCTATTATGCTTTTTCACTTTTTTAATTTTAGTCAGTTTGTAGTGTGTGTGTTTGGGCATAAAAAAAAGATCTAGAAAGTTACAAATCTCAAAGTCCACTCCAAAGGGAGATATTTAGTTTTTAAAAAATCCCTTTTCAAGAACTACAACGAACGGCTCGTTTGGACTACAGCGTTTGTTTTCCGGGCTTTGTGATATCACAAAGCGGCTCATGGAATATCATTACAAATAATTCCCACCTACAGAAATTTGAATGTTTGGGGGGCGGGGAGGTGCGAGGTTGTGGTTAGAACGCTTGGTTGAGTGAGTGC